AGGTATCTGCTCGGTTTCTGACTTGACTGATTCAAAACAGCTGGAAGAAACAAAGTGCAGTCTCCAGCAGCTTGTAGGACTCAGAACCAGAGCATTCTTTCCAACAGCAGGATTACACACCCAGGCTTTAGTCCTATTCCAGGCCAGACTGCAGTGAGGGGATGGCGACCCTGAGTGCACCAGTCTAGCCCCAGAACTGCAGACACTGAGCGGTTCAGCACCAGAACTGGGGGGTGGGGAGCAGAACGAGGGAGACCTGGAACCCAGAGCCTGAGGGAGGCACGCTGCTTCTTCATAGCTTCCAACAAGGTTCTGCCCTCTCATCAAGGGGACTGGGTAGGCCTGAGGACCATGGCTAAGTTGCAAAGGCGTGTCAGTCAGCTATCTGACAGAACAGCAGGCACAATCAACCCCAGAGAAAGAAGAAAAGAAAATCCCAAATGTCAGCAGCCAAAGAGATGAACAAAAGTCTCAAGAGAAGGTCTTCCCTGGTTGCACAGTGGTTAGGAATCTGCCTGCCAATGCAGGGGACACGGGTTCGAGCCCTGGTCCGGGAAGATCCCACATGTCACGGAGCAACTAAGCCCGTGAGCCACAACTACTGAGCCTGTGCTCTAGAACCCGTGAGCCAGAACTACTGAGCCCACGTGCCACAACTACTGAAGCCCAAGTGCCTAGAGCCCATGCTCCGCAACAAGAGAAGCCACCGCAATAAGAAGCCCGCGCATTGCAACGAAGACCCAACACAGCCAAAAATTTAAAAACAAACAAACAAAAAGTCTCAACAGCAATAACCGGAGGGAGGTGGAACTCTGACTGATGTAGCCACTTGGAAGTAAGGAGCTTCCTCATGTAAATATTTCAAGAACTAGGTGTGCGAAAGACTTGTCAAAGATTAAAACGTGACAATGAATTTCAACACGATCACTTACACATTTACTAAAGTTTGTAAAATGGCCACTCGTGTACCAGAAACTGTAAAAAAAAAAAATACAGATAAAATTTTTATTTATTAATGGCATCATATCTGTATAGGCCTTACAGCTTTCAATAAACTTCAGCATAAATCACATAATATACTATCCTCAAAAGGGATATGGTAATTTTTTCCTATAAATTACTATATATCCATATAATGACAGGCAACGCATGACAGATGTCACAGAAGACACTGAAATTGTTACAAGAGCTCGGGGAAAAGATTGCATCCATCTGTAATTGATGATGAGAAGACTTCTTTGGAAGAGACACACTTGAACGGGACCTTAAAAGGTAAGTGGGAGGGATTCTCTGGCAGTCCACTGGTTAGGACTCGTGCTTTCACTGCCAGGGGTCCAGGCTCAAACTCTGGGAGGAGAATTAAGATCCTGCAAGGCACGTGGTGTGGCCAAAAAAAAGGTAAGCGGGATTTTATGGGGCAGAGGTGGGAGAAGAGGTTAGTTCATTGAAGCAACAGTGAAGCATTGGTGTGAATCAAGCCATGGAGCCAAGAAGGTGACAAAGACATTTGGCGATGAGTGAGTGCGTACAGAGAACACAAGTCCAATGCAAGGTTTCGTGGTCAGATAAGTCTGGGTAATAAAACATACCCTGTGTAGAATTGTAATGGTTAACAGAATAAGAAAGGTTCTTGAGAAAACCTGTAGTAAACATTAACTTCGTAAACAAAATTTATTAAAAGTTTCTCAAATTTATTTCAGCAGGGAATGACCCCTCTACCCATTATAACATCATGAAACTTAGATCAGAACATCACTATATTAAAAAAGAATGTACCCTAATACAAATTGTCAGTACTTACAAGACATGACAGTAATGAAACGCATTTCTCCCCAAAGTAATATTTCTTGATATTTTATCCTACTGTCCATTAAGTTAGCTGCATGTCCAAATCACTGCACCTTAGATATTTCTCTTCAAAAAAGTATTAAATGGATAACCTGCTAAAGAAAGTGGCTTTCTGTTCTGAAGAAAATTTCCCAGATTCATAAATATTTTTAGATCCAGTCAAAAGATAACTGCTAGATGATTTTAAAAGGAAAAACACACACACAAATATAAAAGTCAGACTATAACAAGTAAAAAGGTAAACAATCCAACAAAAAGATGCTGTGGAAAACTTAGACTTTGAAAACTAAATAATTTCCATGACTTTACAAGACAGAAACTGTTCAACTACTTCCCATGAGGGCAAGAAATGTATTTACCTGACATGGTTCCAAAGTTGCAGATCAAATCTCTCTATATTTCAGCAATGCAAATGGGCATTTTCCCCACGTGGGTTCACCTTTCATTTTATACTTAACCTTATACTTAACCAAAGAACACTGATCTTTAAGAATCAAAATGTATCATAGCTACAATGTTTATATACACATGTGAAAGTGCATAATTAAAAAACACAAGAAGAGTTTATTAGAGTAGTGGCGTGAGGATTAAAAAAAAGATTTTCCAGAGTTTCTGTAATTTTACATTATTTTTATAACTGAAGAATAAATGGACCTGTGCTGCCATGTCTCTCACCCCATCTTTTCTTCCAGCATTTTGTTGAGTCTCGCTCGCAATGAAGCGCAGCCAGTGAGAGCAAGAGCTCTGAAATCACATTGCCAGGCTTCAGTCTCAGTTCTGACACTGACTGAGACCTTGGGCAAATTAATTAAATCCTCTATGCCTCAGTTTCCACAGCTCTATAACGGGAAAAATCAAAGTACCTACTTCAAGGGGTTGGAGTGAGAATTGAGATAATCCACAAAACCACTTAGGAAAGATCCTGAACCATAGAATTCACTGAATAAATATTAACACTTATCATATTTTAGATCCCTGATGAAAAGTCTGACTAGAAACTAAGATGAAAGCTCTACAAAGCAGTGATAGTGGCCAAACCTCACAGGATACTGCTTTGATATCTGACCCACCACAGAGATCAAATCTGGCTTCCTGAGCCATCTGAAAATTATTACCAACATGTCACAACAGGAAACGGAAAGCTTATCACCAACATGACCTGGAAAACAGCCAATTCACTGACATAAAATCCTAACCTCAGCAAATCCTTCCCCTAAACTGTATATATCCAAAACCGGGTTAAATATTGGCATTCCTAATGAGCTATGTATGATTGAAAACACATGCTAAAACACAAGTTCGAACTAAAGTTGTAGGTACTATACATTCATATTGACCTCTTAAAATAATGTGACCTGTTTTTCAAACAAAGATTCAGTCTTTGAAGAGTGTGGGGAGTTAGGTGTGGGAGAGCTGCAATCTGCCTTGGGTTCTTCCAACAGTGTCTGTTCCTATTAACCAGAGGTCATAAAAGCTGGCTTAAGCTGAGTAAATAACTGCAGGACACACACCTGGTTTTTAAGCCACAGTCTGTAACAAGAAAATCAGCAACAGCACCTTTTAGGATGAAATCAACAACCTATACACGAGCATTTTAACTTCTCTGTGTACTCCCATGCTACACAGACAGTATTTTCCAGTGACTCACAGAAGCAAGTAAAATTGACTGACATCAGGTAAATTATTTCCATGCCGACCTCATCAAGAAAAGATTCTTCTAAATTAACTCTTGAGAGATGAAAAGTAAAGCATTTCTGTAAAGATTCAACAATCAAAGACAAACCACAGTGAAGCTGCTGTAACTGAACTGCATGCTGTAAACTCAAAAAAGTTTATAGTTTGCAGAACTGAACTTTTGAATTACCAAAGAGAAAAAATGGTACGGTCACTGTTGATTCATTTCTTATTAAAAAAAAAAAAAAAGAATTTTCTTCCAAAGGAAACACAAATCTCGGTCTCTAATATGCATAAAGTATGTGTAATTATCTTCTAGGTGCTCCGGTTTTGAAATGCTATACAAATAAAGCACATTATATACAATATCGATTTCTGAGTCTAAGGTGGTTTCCGGTCCAAGTCTAAGAACAAAACACAAATGTTACATATACACACAAACTATGTCTTGATATACACATAAATCTAAAGAGACACTGAACTTTATATTTGGGCAAATTTCGCAAAAGTAAAACCCACAATTAATCTCTTCCTGGCACCTACGTCCATTCTGCTCAAAGGTCTTTCGGCGGTTCCCGAAGGAAGCAGGTGAAAGCTCAGAGAACGCCCGCGGGCCACACCTGCTGCGGGCAGGGTCAGCGTCCCAGGACGGAGAGGCTAGCGGCCCGCCCCTGCCCCGCGGACGCCACGGCCCCGGACCCCCTGCCGCCGCCGCCACTCACCTCGCCGCTCAGAGGCAGACAGCAGCCCCGGGGCCGCGTCCTGCGCCGCCGGCGGGCTCCGCATCTGAGGGCGGCCGGCGCGGCCAGCCCCACCGCGACCGCAACCCACGGGCTCAGCCGGGAGGGAGCCACATCAAGTTGCAGCCGCCGGCTCCGGGGCCCTGGACTCGACCCGCTGCTGCCCCGAATCAAACACGACCGCCTCCGAGCTCACCTCCCTCTGGAGGGCCCACAGCTGCAGCCATGCTCCAACTCGGGGAGGAACTGGAGCGGCCGGCCACCAGCACCGCTCCTCGGCGCTCGGCCCGACTCCGGCCGCGGGCGACGGGACCGCAGGAAGGACTGCGGCTCGGGACCGTACCGCCCGACCCACCGACCCCAGGAAGCCGACAGGAGCGGCGCTAGCAGGGCCGACAGGTGCGTCGGCGCCTGACGTCACCGCGTAGCCGTGAACGGCCGGTCGGAGCCGCGTAGACGCCCATTGGGCCGTGTGGGAACAGGGGGCGGGACGCGTGGAGGCAGTAGGCGGGACCTTTTGAAGCAGGGGCGGGGCTTGTGGAGGATGGGGAGGGACTTGTGGCGGCAGGGGGCGGGCCGCGTGGGAGCGGTAGGCGGGCCAGTGGAGGCGGGGGGCGGGCCGTGTGTGGGTAGTGGGAGGGCCGTGCGAGGCAGTGGGCGGGGCCGTGGCGCCTTGGGGCGGGGCAGGCTGGGGGCGCGACCTTTCCTAGCTGGTGGGTCACGCCCCTCGCGGTGTGGGGTCCTCGTCTTGGTGACCTCGCGAGAGGACTGAGGTGGCACCGGGCCGCTCTCCCCGAAGGGCACTGCGCGCAGTCCGGCGGATCTCAGGTTCGCGTTCGGCGTCGGCGGGACCTCGGCGTCCAGCAGCGCGGAGACTGGGCTACCGTGGCGGGAGCGTTGATTCCGTGGGCAGCCGGTCTGTCTGAGCTTACGCGCGGACCCGGCTCCGCGCCGGCACCCGGTTAGCCTTTATGAATTGTCAAAAATAATGCTTGTTAATTGACTATTTTGGGGAAAACATGTAACCTGAGGACTCGAATGGCAGAGCTGAATTGATTTCCTTTTGGCAGACAGCTGTGGAACTCCTCAGGCGCGCCAGTGCGGAATCCCAGAGCAGGGAGGGCCGCACAAGGACAGTCCAGGACGCGGCTCTGCGGCGTGGGGACGTCCTGAATCCCACAGGTGACCTCTGACCTGGAGCTGGGGGGGGCGGGGAGGGGATGTCCAACAGCACCTGCTGGAATGAGAGGACGGAGCTCTGCGGCGTGGGGACGTCCTGAATTCCGCAGGTGACCTCTGACCTGGAGCTGGGGGGGCGGGGGGGATGTCCAACAGCACCTGGTGGCAAGGAAAGGAAGAAGTGTAAAGGCGAATGGTGCCCTGCTGTTACTGGAATGTAGGTGGAAGGGGGATGAGGAGGTGGGTTGTTGATGAAGTTGTATGGAAGAGTTTGTGTTTTATCCCAGGTAACTGGGAGTTGTTGAAACGGTTGTGGTTGTTGTTGTTTGAGTAGTTTTTCCTGCACAATTTTTATTATGAAAATTTTCAAACCCAAAATACCTGAGCGTATGAAATGAGTTTATTGCATACTCAAATATGGTTTTTCATTTCTTTAAGGTATATGATAAACACTCTAAAATTTTCGGTCTTAAAAGTCTGAAGTCGGGCTTCCCTGGTGGCACAGTGGTTAAGAACCCGCCTGCCAATGCAGGGGACACGGGTTCGAGCCCTGGTCCGGGAAGATCCCACATGCTGCGGAGCAACTAAGCCCGTGTGCCACAACTACTGAGCCCGTGTGCCACAACTACTGAGCCCGCGTGCCTAGAGCCCGTGCTCCGGAACAAGAGAAGCCACCACAACGAAGAGTAACCCCCGCTCACCGCAAATAGAGAAAGCCCACGCACAGCAATGAAGACCCAATGCAGCCAAAGATAAATAAAAGAATAAGATTTTTTTTTAAGTCTAACATCAACTTACAGTAGCTGCATTTAACATGGAAATGTTTTAATCATGGGCATGATGGGATCAGTCATCTAGATGCAAAAATCCTGCTGTATTAGCTTCATCTATATTCAGGTGTAATTTTTTACCCTGAAACTTGTGACAGTCGGAGGCAGACATTATGAAACTCTCCCCAAAGATACTTCAACATGCATCTCAAGAATAACACCTCTCCAACACGATCAAATATCACAGCTAGGAAGTTAACAATAAATCCCTCATATCGTCTGATAACCAGGCTATATTTAAATTTTGCCAGTTGTCAACAACAACGAAACATCTTTTGCAGACTTTTTTTTCAAACCAGGATCCAGACAAGTGTCTTTTTTTTTTTTGGCGGTACGCGGGCCTTTCACTGTTGCGGCCTCTCCCATTGCGGAGCATAGGCTCCAGACACGCAGACTCAGCGGCCATGGCTCATGGGCCCAGCCGCTCCGCGGCATGTGGGATCTTCCCGGACCAGGGTACGAATCCATGTCCCCTGCATTGGCAGGCAGACTCTCAACCACTGCGCCACCAGGGAAGCCCCAGACAAGTTTTAAACGTTGCATTTTGGTTATGTTTCTTACATCTCTTTTATTGTTCAACAGCCCCTCCAATTTTTCATAGCACTGATGTTTTAAAGAGACAAGTTGCCTTGTAGAATGTTGCACGTTGAACTGTTGTCTTTTAATTGTAAGAGTAATCATGGCTTGTGTAGATTGACTGTGTCCCCAAAGAACCCCCTCCCTCCCCTACCCCATGCTTTATTTGGAAGTAGGGTCTTACAGACGTGATCAAGGAAAGTTATTAGGATGGGCCCTAATTCAACCGGACTGGTGTCCTCAGAAGAGAAGAGACACAAAGACAGACATACAGGAAGATGGCATGTGAAAATGGAGGCAGAGACTGGAATGATGCTGTTCAGAGCTAAGGAGTGCCGGGGGCACCAGAAGCTGGAAGAAGTAAGGAAGGATTCTCCCCGAGGGCCCTTCAGGAGAGCAGACCTGCTGACACCTTGATTTCAGACTTCTGGCCTCCAGAACTGTGTGAGAATAAATTTCTGTTGTTTTAAGACCCCCAGTTTGTGGTACTTTGTATGAAAATATGAAATGCAAGCTGATGTCATCCTGTACAACCTGACCAACCTTAGTGCCGCTCACCACAAAAAGATACTATTAAGTATGTCTTGGATATCTTTCCAGGGACTTTTTAGGCATGTGCAAACATATTACGTACATAAAATGATGGAGGAAACTTTATTCACCAGTAGCCCTGTTAAGAGATAACTGGCTTGGCTTGGCCAAACCTTCTGGTAAGTGTTTAGGGTAGGAGACCCTAGATAGGTCTCAGCTGGTTCCTAGAGTCCAGGGAAGCACGTGGAGGGAGAGGAGGCTGTTTTCCTTTGGAGAGGGGAAAGGAGCCCTGTCGACCGGGAGAAGGTGGGGTAAGTGCTGAAGGAGGGTTTGCTGTCGAGTGTTGCACAGCAGGGTGTGCAAGAGAAGCTTCTTTGCCTCCCTACCAAATTGTATCAAACTCTGTATCACACACTAATGCTTTTGATTATGTACACTTTGGGGGCCCTCCAGTAAAACACAAGAGAGTAATGAATATCTGATCTAAATATGTATTTTTTTGTACCTTTGAGGCACATAGCACTCTATAAGCATTAATATCAACATTCTAGATTCAACTCATCCTTTTTGATAGCTGCATACAACATATCATATAAAAGGTCTTTAAGTAGGGTCTGGTGACATGATTCTACTTGTTGTTGTAGGACTGAGGCCGCTGTTTTGTTGCTTTCTTGCCAGCTGTTAACCGGAGATCACTCTAAGCTCCTAGATGTCGGTCTCAAGTCCCAACCACATGGCTCTCACAACGTAGTGACTTACCTCTTCAAAGCCAGCAGAATTTCTCTTCCTTTCCCTTGAATTTGACTTCTTTGAAGAGCAGGAGGGGTTATGTAATTAGGTCAAGCCCACCCATCATAATTTCATTTTTTTATGAACTCAAGGTCAGTTGACTAATAACGTTTTCATGGAAGTGAAGTCCACCATATTTACGGACCAGCCCACACTCAAGGAGCAGCAGTTACACCAGACATGTACACCAGGGCCTGGGAATCTCGGGGCCACATCAGAATTCTGCCTGCATCAGCCCCCGCTCCAGCCCCTAATGATTCACAGGTAAGGTGCATTCACTCCTTCCCAACGTTCGCAAGGGCCTCGTGCCAGTACAGCATCTGTGTGAAGTCCAAGGTCTCATCTAAATCTAAATCTCATCTGTTCAGTGTCCAAAAGCTCTTCCACATCAGGTGAAGATGGGGCCCCTGGGTGTAATCCACTAATTCCTCTTTGTCTGTGGACCAGTGACACTAAAGAACCAAGTTACCTGCTCCCAACACTCTCGAAATACAGGGCTGGGACAGGCAGAGGAGCAGTGGCAGGCCTTCCAGCCCACAGGGAGAGGAAGGAAGATGGGGGCCTGTTCTCAACACACAGCCGCCTTCCACGGTGGCGAGGGTGCCCCTCTCTTCCCTGAGTGCAGTAGCTGGATTTGGGGTGGTTTTGTGTTTTTGAGAAAAGGAAAACCCCTTTGTGTTGCCCTCAGCCAAGAGGATTTTGTGCCTTAATAGGCTAGAACGTCAGCTTTTCCAGATCCTGTATCTGCCTCACTGGCTGACAGCCTCTTCACTTCCTGACTCAGCACCGGCACCAGCTCACAAAGCAGGTTTTTCTCACTGTGACTTTATTTCATAACCGTTACCTTTGCCCTTCCCTGTCGCTAGGCCTCGCATAAAATTATAGGAGTTTACACAGCAGATTTCCTTAACTCCAAATCTCAGCCTAGGCCATTTAAACAAACAGGCAGAACACACCCAAAGTTCTTGCTATCTAAGCCCAGAACCATGAGGCCTAGTTACCCAACGTGTGTGGTAGTCAGAGGACCACTCAGGTGACCTTTGTAGGATCAAGAAATTCAGCTTCTTGCAAGTAAAATAAACTATGCCCCAGAATATTACAAAAATTGTGTGTCTGGTTTATTTGGAAAGCCTAAAGATTCGAAAGCCTTCTAAGGACATATCTTAGGACCTGCCAAAATTAGGGATCCTTTCCCTTGTTACCAGGAAAGTGTACTCTCCCTTGTATACTTCTGAGTGCAAAGAGTTGAAAATTGTAGGACATCAGGCAAAAGACTTTCACTCCTTTTAAATTATTTTTAATATACAGGGCCGAGTAATACCCAGAGATTACCTGCTTGATGTTGTGTGGGAGGTTACCTCCGTGCAATGGTACCCTCCAAATACACGAGCAGACGAGTTTTCCCAGAGGTCAGGGAAAGAAAGCCAACGCACCCTGAGAAGCCAGGGAGAAAGAAAGTCAACACAGTTAGATAGGGTGCAAGGCGGGTGGAAAGATTAAAACCTGTGGTCATGCAGTGTACATATGTCCTGTCTCTTTTTGGTACGTCAGCCTCCTGTGGATGGTGGGGTAAGTAGAACCAGAGGTGAGGTTGGAGCGAGGGTGCAGAAATGGAAGGTGCCCTAAGCCAACGACACACTCTGGCTCTGTCAGAGAGATGTAGAGCGAGAGGGCCTGGCCACAGCCCCAGGTTGCCTGTTAACCTGCTGAGCACTTTTTGGGACACAGTAAGAGTGTCACCTCTGGGTGGCAGGATTAAGACCCATGAATGTTGGGTGTCTCACGGACATTTAGTGTGCCGTGAAGATATGGTGCTTGATTCATATTCGATGCCTCTTGTATGTTTAGTGCCTCATGAACATGTGGCGTCTCTTGGGCTTTCCAGCCTTTTCAATCTCTGTTCACAAGTATCAGTATATGCCCTACTGACCTCATCTGTCCACCATGTCTCACAGCTGAGTAACTTACTTCTCTGTGCTTAACACATGAGCTTTTTCTATCCTATTTATTTCTTTTCTCCCAGGACAGAATTCAGTTTTCTCAGACAACACAGTCCTGGGCTTCAGAGCGGGTACGGTGCCCAGCTGGTGATGGGGGTGCCCACAATGCAGTCAGACTTCTCGGGACTCTTTCATTGCTGGTATCGTGGTAGAATTCACGGAACCATGCTCATACCCAAGCCCAGTTTTCTCTTATTTTACTTGGGACCCTGTTGGACAAGTTTCTTAGGTTCTTTCTTAGAAAAATGTTGAAAAGGAAGTGAAAACTTTTTCTAAACTAAGTGGAATTTTTCACAAGAGATTTACAGACATTCTCTGTTTGCTTCTCTCACTGAAGATATGTAGCCTAAATTGGGGGAGAGGTGCCTAGCTTTGAGAACAGACAATAGTCGCAGTCAAAGTATTGTGCTATAACGTCCAACATGAGGAACTATAGTTAACACTAGAGTTAACTGTGTGGTATATTTGAAAGTTATGTGGTATATTTGAAAATTGTTCAGAGACCAGATACGAAGAGTTCTCATCACAAGGGGAAAAAACGTGTTTTTCCTTTTTTTGGTATCTACATGAGATGATGGATGTTAACTAAGCATTGTGGTCATTGTTTCACAATATATGTGCGTCGGATCATTATGCTGTACGCCTTGAACGTATGCAGTGCTGTACATCAACTGCATTTCAATAAAACTGGAAAAACCCAAACCAAACCAATGACTAAATAAAAAGCTGTCAGCACACAGGAAGTAGTTGGAGGCACAGCAAACTATGTTATGTGAATAAAGCCAGGCTCCTGTACTTTAAGTCA